GGTGATTTGAGATTATCTGTTGGACTTATGTGCGTTCATGTTCTCCTTCTAAGTTTGGTCAGGGGATGGAAAGATGATCTTTGTCGTCTACCCTGAGCTATCCCATCTCGCACAATCTCGGTTACATCTCTCTTGTATATACTATGTTTTTTGTCTCCCATCTGATTTCTATGAATCCATAATGCTGTCCTTAAAATTATGTTGTTGACGGTATCATTGTCAACTATGGGGTTTGCCCCTGGCAGTATACCCACGATCCGGTAAACCAAACCCCGGAGCCGGCATACATATAATGTGTCACCCCTTTCATTTCGATCTTCTACCACAACCACCGTAGACACTTGCCCCATTTCTGCACAAACGATGCCTACAGAAGTAAGCGAAGTCAACCGTCAAAATCTTACGCTTTGCGTACCGAGGCGCTCGAGTCTGGAACCCAAGGCCTCTGCAGCGGACAACCTTTCTCGTCCTTTGGTTGTCCCTTCCTCGATAAATGAACTCGACGGTAGCTTACCACCTAACCACGTCATCTTACGCGTGGAAAGGTTTGGATTTAGCGCAAATAACGTGACATACGGACTGCTTGGAGAGCATCCACATTTCTTGTGAGTACGGCGACCTCTTTCTGGCGTGAGATTAACCGCACATCTCCAGATACTTTGATTTTCATCCCGCTCCTACCACTCAAACAACCTCATCTAAAACTCATGGTGTCATTCCCGTCTGGGGTTATGCCACCGTAGTCCGCTCGACGCATTCAGAGATACAAGCTGGCGAACGAGTGTTTGGATACCTGGGAATGTCTAGATATCTCGTCCTCCCAGTCGAAAGCCATGTCAACAAGTTCAATTTCTATGTTCCTCGACCCCATCTTCCAGCGGGTAAGTAGCTACTCGTATTTCCTCGCCTACTTGCTCACCATCAATAATACAGACAGGAGACCATATAATCAAATGACAAGATGCAATGCTGACCCACTATACGATGCTAATCGTGAGGATGAGCTCATGATTTTTCGCCCCCTATTTTGGACCTCTTTCTGGTGTGAAGACTGGTTACACAAAACGGGTATCATAAATACGGTACAGAATGTCATCATATCTTCTGCATCGTCCAAAACTGCCTATTGCTTGGCTTTTGTACTTGATCTCCGGAGAAAGTACCAACGTGTGGCAATACCCAAGGGTGCCAAGTGGACGAAGCATAGTGGAAACCCCGATAAACTCAGAATCATCGGATTGACGTCCAAAAAGAATGTGAAGTTCACTACGCGCTTAGGTCTCTATGACGAGGTTCTCTCCTACGACGATGTGCAGCGGCTCTCGCAACGGCCTGGCCAATTTGCTTACGTAGACGTCGCTGGAAATGAGGAACTGAACAAAAAGGTTTCAAAGTCACTCGAAGGACGCGTGAATAGATGCGTTGCCCTTGGGATGTCCCATCCACCAGGAAAGGACGAGGACGCCAAGTTCGGTAATACAGCCCAATTCGAGCAGTTCTTCATGCCCGAGTGGCTGGTCAAGAGAAGAGAAGAGCTCAGCATTCAAGAAATCACCGGTCTCCAATATGATGGGTGGAGTGCGTTGATGCAGACCTGTCACCAATGGATCAATATTGAAAGAATTTGGTGGCCAAGTGCCGCTACATGGATGGATGAGGTTCCGAGTGTTTTGGATGTTTACGAAGAAATAGTGGGGGGTGAGGTAGGGCCGGAGAGAGGTATTATCATGAGTATGTGGACGGAGAAGGACACTAAAACAGATTTTGCTATGGGAGGCAAAGGTATTCAAACAAAGTTGTAGTGTTTAAATCCACCGAAACTTAAACAGAGTGTTACTATAAATTTGTAACCTTCGTATGAATTATCCATATGTTCCTGAGCCCGAGCTTTCTACTTTGCGCTCTTCCCCAACAATCGTCAAGATAAGATGATCCGAAAAGCCCCACCATTACCGGCTCCTAGTTCCTGGTATCCTGGTCATATGGCTGTATTTACAAAAAACTTGCCTCAACTCCTTCAAAATACACATGTGGTCTTGGAAGCTCGAGATGCTCGACTGCCCTTGACATCAATCAATCCAAACTTCGAGAAATTACTCAAGCAGTGGCGCTTAGATAAAGGGTCGGGGTTTACAGGACCAGTGGAAAGGATTGTGGTATACAACAAAACAGACTTGGTGCCGAATTGGGGTGTTGAGGTAATATCACGTCTATCAAGTCAAAATAGAGTCAAAAATCGATTTATTTCCTTCAAATCCTATGTATCAGCCGTTTCAAAGGGCACTGTCACGCTATTTTGACCATGCAACCTACTTTACTACGGCGAAATCAGGGAAAACCTTGGGTTTGCTGCATCGTAGATTAGTAGGTATGTCACAATGCACTTTCAACAGTATTCTCGGGACTAACTTTGGTTCCAATACAGATATTGCGCGTGAACATCAGAGCACTTTACCACAACTGAATGTCCTGGTAGTTGGCATGCCGAATGTCGGTAAATCGACCCTTTTGAACCACCTGAGAGGCTATGGACTCAAAGGAGGTTCGTCTCGAGTGAATTTCTCTGACTCATTTCACTGAATCATTTGCGCAGCATCGTCTTCGGTCCTTCGCACCTCCCGGCTCCCTGGTATGACGAGGATGACCTCCGATCGCTTACGAATATCTGCCGATCCATTAATTTACTCGGTTGATTCTCCCGGAGTCATGGTCCCTTTTCTCGGGTATGGCGACGTGGCTCGAGAAAAAGCCGTAAAGATAAGTCTTATATGTGAGCCGAGGTACTTATTACTGTACTACATGACTCACTAATTATATATAGTGGGTATCAAGGAGAGTTTGTTCGATTATGAGCAACTGGCCGATTATCTGTTATATCGACTGAATACCATCGACCCAATGCGTATGTCCAGTCTAGTACAGTAACTGGGGAGTCTTTCATATTGACATTCACATACAGAGCCGCCATACCCGTCCTTGCTGTCCAATCCTACGCGGACCAGACCGGCGTTCGCGGCGACTGAGTCCATTGACGATTTCCTCATAGAACTCTCCGAGAGGATGGGATACCTCTTATCAGGAGGAGTACCAGATAAGCAGCGCACCGCAAAATGGTTTGTTGAATGGTGGAGAAACTCGGCTGCTGGAGAAGCGAAATTGGGTGGCACCAAGGAATGGGGATGGGGTCTTGATTGCCAATGGGAGGGGAATACTGATCTGCCCATGATAATAGACTCAGAGGTTGTGACAACAACCGAAGGAGAGAAGAAAAGCGACACGCCTTCACCACTTCTCACTACCTATAAAAACAGCCCTTCACCCTTGGACTTGGAGAAGCGATTCTGTCAAGTGATCGAAAGGTATTTAGCCCAAGAGCCAAGTGAAACAGAAACTATCAGCGATACTCAGATGAAAAAGCGTTCGCACGAGAAGGAGATTCAAAGGAGACAACGGAAGCGCTTGGAAGCTTCCAGAAAGCGAACGGCTGCTCAGAAATGGACGCGTCGGCGATGATATTTTAGTCTTCTAGATAGCTATAACGATCCATCAAAATCTAATGATCTGATAATGACAACTCATTGAACTGTGGCAATCAAAGCGTAATAATCAGAAAGGCGCCAGACAACTTATTAGGAAGGAGGTAAATTGCGACGGGTTGAATTTTGAAAGTACATGAACTACTGTATACTGATAAGTGAAAGATATGTGCAGAAAAAGCAGTCAAAGATGAACATGAGAAACAATGAAATGCATGAATCAAACCCTCGCTTAAGAACTTCACACTTCTCCCGGGTTATCTTCTATAGTAGTATTGGTATGTCTAACCCCAGGCCCAAGTGGAGATATATCACCTGGGGCGGGCGTATTAGACGCCCCTGTTGAAGAGCTTTTCGCGGTGGAAGCTTTACGAACTCGAGATAGCTCGTGCGGGGGTAAAATTTTTCCTGATCTCGTTCGCGTTTCCAATGTCTCGACGGGGAAGTCCAAATTGATGAGCTTGTCCTTGGGCTCTGGTGATCCTTCCACCTCCACCCAGCCCTTCCAACCTGGCCGTGATTTTCGTCTTTGAGCGATGGGTTTACTACCATTTGAAAGCTCCTCTAATCTGTCGATGTCGGACATCTTTCTTTTCAATCCTATTCGCGTGTCAGGCGCATGGTTAGTGGTGTAAATAACATCGGTAGTGAGGTACGCACTCTTTCCTCTTAATGATGATCGCTCCTCCTGAGCAGCCTTACTCCTTTCAGGTTCTCCTTTCCTCTTTCCATTCCCTCGTTTGTCCTCCTGCCGCGATATCTCCGACCGAGACGTTGGAAACGCGAACGAGATCAGGAAAAATTTTACCCCCGCACGAGCTATCTCGAGTTCGTAAAGCTTCCACCGCGAAAAGCTCTTCAACAGGGGCGTCTAATACGCCCGCCCCAGGTGATATATCTCCACTTGGGCCTGGGGTTAGACATACCAATACTACTATAGAAGATAACCCGGGAGAAGTGTGAAGTTCTTAAGCGAGGGTTTGATTCATGCATTTCATTGTTTCTCATGTTCATCTTTGACTGCTTTTTCTGCACATATCTTTCACTTATCAGTATACAGTAGTTCATGTACTTTCAAAATTCAACCCGTCGCAATTTACCTCCTTCCTAATAAGTTGTCTGGCGCCTTTCTGATTATTACGCTTTGATTGCCACAGTTCAATGAGTTGTCATTATCAGATCATTAGATTTTGATGGATCGTTATAGCTATCTAGAAGACTAAAATATCATCGCCGACGCGTCCATTTCTGAGCAGCCGTTCGCTTTCTGGAAGCTTCCAAGCGCTTCCGTTGTCTCCTTTGAATCTCCTTCTCGTGCGAACGCTTTTTCATCTGAGTATCGCTGATAGTTTCTGTTTCACTTGGCTCTTGGGCTAAATACCTTTCGATCACTTGACAGAATCGCTTCTCCAAGTCCAAGGGTGAAGGGCTGTTTTTATAGGTAGTGAGAAGTGGTGAAGGCGTGTCGCTTTTCTTCTCTCCTTCGGTTGTTGTCACAACCTCTGAGTCTATTATCATGGGCAGATCAGTATTCCCCTCCCATTGGCAATCAAGACCCCATCCCCATTCCTTGGTGCCACCCAATTTCGCTTCTCCAGCAGCCGAGTTTCTCCACCATTCAACAAACCATTTTGCGGTGCGCTGCTTATCTGGTACTCCTCCTGATAAGAGGTATCCCATCCTCTCGGAGAGTTCTATGAGGAAATCGTCAATGGACTCAGTCGCCGCGAACGCCGGTCTGGTCCGCGTAGGATTGGACAGCAAGGACGGGTATGGCGGCTCTGTATGTGAATGTCAATATGAAAGACTCCCCAGTTACTGTACTAGACTGGACATACGCATTGGGTCGATGGTATTCAGTCGATATAACAGATAATCGGCCAGTTGCTCATAATCGAACAAACTCTCCTTGATACCCACTATATATAATTAGTGAGTCATGTAGTACAGTAATAAGTACCTCGGCTCACATATAAGACTTATCTTTACGGCTTTTTCTCGAGCCACGTCGCCATACCCGAGAAAAGGGACCATGACTCCGGGAGAATCAACCGAGTAAATTAATGGATCGGCAGATATTCGTAAGCGATCGGAGGTCATCCTCGTCATACCAGGGAGCCGGGAGGTGCGAAGGACCGAAGACGATGCTGCGCAAATGATTCAGTGAAATGAGTCAGAGAAATTCACTCGAGACGAACCTCCTTTGAGTCCATAGCCTCTCAGGTGGTTCAAAAGGGTCGATTTACCGACATTCGGCATGCCAACTACCAGGACATTCAGTTGTGGTAAAGTGCTCTGATGTTCACGCGCAATATCTGTATTGGAACCAAAGTTAGTCCCGAGAATACTGTTGAAAGTGCATTGTGACATACCTACTAATCTACGATGCAGCAAACCCAAGGTTTTCCCTGATTTCGCCGTAGTAAAGTAGGTTGCATGGTCAAAATAGCGTGACAGTGCCCTTTGAAACGGCTGATACATAGGATTTGAAGGAAATAAATCGATTTTTGACTCTATTTTGACTTGATAGACGTGATATTACCTCAACACCCCAATTCGGCACCAAGTCTGTTTTGTTGTATACCACAATCCTTTCCACTGGTCCTGTAAACCCCGACCCTTTATCTAAGCGCCACTGCTTGAGTAATTTCTCGAAGTTTGGATTGATTGATGTCAAGGGCAGTCGAGCATCTCGAGCTTCCAAGACCACATGTGTATTTTGAAGGAGTTGAGGCAAGTTTTTTGTAAATACAGCCATATGACCAGGATACCAGGAACTAGGAGCCGGTAATGGTGGGGCTTTTCGGATCATCTTATCTTGACGATTGTTGGGGAAGAGCGCAAAGTAGAAAGCTCGGGCTCAGGAACATATGGATAATTCATACGAAGGTTACAAATTTATAGTAACACTCTGTTTAAGTTTCGGTGGATTTAAACACTACAACTTTGTTTGAATACCTTTGCCTCCCATAGCAAAATCTGTTTTAGTGTCCTTCTCCGTCCACATACTCATGATAATACCTCTCTCCGGCCCTACCTCACCCCCCACTATTTCTTCGTAAACATCCAAAACACTCGGAACCTCATCCATCCATGTAGCGGCACTTGGCCACCAAATTCTTTCAATATTGATCCATTGGTGACAGGTCTGCATCAACGCACTCCACCCATCATATTGGAGACCGGTGATTTCTTGAATGCTGAGCTCTTCTCTTCTCTTGACCAGCCACTCGGGCATGAAGAACTGCTCGAATTGGGCTGTATTACCGAACTTGGCGTCCTCGTCCTTTCCTGGTGGATGGGACATCCCAAGGGCAACGCATCTATTCACGCGTCCTTCGAGTGACTTTGAAACCTTTTTGTTCAGTTCCTCATTTCCAGCGACGTCTACGTAAGCAAATTGGCCAGGCCGTTGCGAGAGCCGCTGCACATCGTCGTAGGAGAGAACCTCGTCATAGAGACCTAAGCGCGTAGTGAACTTCACATTCTTTTTGGACGTCAATCCGATGATTCTGAGTTTATCGGGGTTTCCACTATGCTTCGTCCACTTGGCACCCTTGGGTATTGCCACACGTTGGTACTTTCTCCGGAGATCAAGTACAAAAGCCAAGCAATAGGCAGTTTTGGACGATGCAGAAGATATGATGACATTCTGTACCGTATTTATGATACCCGTTTTGTGTAACCAGTCTTCACACCAGAAAGAGGTCCAAAATAGGGGGCGAAAAATCATGAGCTCATCCTCACGATTAGCATCGTATAGTGGGTCAGCATTGCATCTTGTCATTTGATTATATGGTCTCCTGTCTGTATTATTGATGGTGAGCAAGTAGGCGAGGAAATACGAGTAGCTACTTACCCGCTGGAAGATGGGGTCGAGGAACATAGAAATTGAACTTGTTGACATGGCTTTCGACTGGGAGGACGAGATATCTAGACATTCCCAGGTATCCAAACACTCGTTCGCCAGCTTGTATCTCTGAATGCGTCGAGCGGACTACGGTGGCATAACCCCAGACGGGAATGACACCATGAGTTTTAGATGAGGTTGTTTGAGTGGTAGGAGCGGGATGAAAATCAAAGTATCTGGAGATGTGCGGTTAATCTCACGCCAGAAAGAGGTCGCCGTACTCACAAGAAATGTGGATGCTCTCCAAGCAGTCCGTATGTCACGTTATTTGCGCTAAATCCAAACCTTTCCACGCGTAAGATGACGTGGTTAGGTGGTAAGCTACCGTCGAGTTCATTTATCGAGGAAGGGACAACCAAAGGACGAGAAAGGTTGTCCGCTGCAGAGGCCTTGGGTTCCAGACTCGAGCGCCTCGGTACGCAAAGCGTAAGATTTTGACGGTTGACTTCGCTTACTTCTGTAGGCATCGTTTGTGCAGAAATGGGGCAAGTGTCTACGGTGGTTGTGGTAGAAGATCGAAATGAAAGGGGTGACACATTATATGTATGCCGGCTCCGGGGTTTGGTTTACCGGATCGTGGGTATACTGCCAGGGGCAAACCCCATAGTTGACAATGATACCGTCAACAACATAATTTTAAGGACAGCATTATGGATTCATAGAAATCAGATGGGAGACAAAAAACATAGTATATACAAGAGAGATGTAACCGAGATTGTGCGAGATGGGATAGCTCAGGGTAGACGACAAAGATCATCTTTCCATCCCCTGACCAAACTTAGAAGGAGAACATGAACGCACATAAGTCCAACAGATAATCTCAAATCACC